TGTGCTTCCAACATATATACATTCAAAACCCGTCCTCCAGGGTATTCCTCACAAGCATCTGCATATATCAAGACTCTTCAGCTCGTGTATTTCTTTTCCATACAGCTTGGTCAAAATGTCTTAAGGTAGCTTTTTAAAAATCAAAAACCAAGTATTTGCTGCAAAATTAACCCAAATAATCAGGATAAATAACTCTAGGTCTATTTATGTGTCTGAGTGTTTTATCTGCACTCACGTATGCACACCACACGCATGGCCGGTGCCCACCAAGGTCAGAGGAGGGGCCAGATCTCCTGGAAGTAGACTTATGTTCTGGAGGGCTAATAAACAATCCATGGCGGCAGAGTGGGGGTAGCTTTCCAAACAGTTCTCCCACCTGAGGACCAAGGATTAAACCTATGAGCCTATGAGGGTATTCTCATTCCGACCACCACGTCACCGTTTATTGCCAGAGTTTACAAGACCTCATAGCGCAAATGGTATTTGCCGCCTGGCCATCATAGAAAAAAATTACCAACCCCAAGTTATACTATGGGCTTTTCTGAGAAACACTGTCAGCATCTCTTCTCAAATGACAACGAATGGCTGGGCATGGTGGTGTGTAACTGTAGCCCACTATGAGGAAGGAGGAGCTGCGTGACAGGAAAGAATTCATGGTCAGCCTCCTTTACGTAGGGAGTTCGAGCCAGACCTGGCAATACTGAGACTCCTTCTCAAATAAAATAAAACAAAACTGCACAAAGTGTCTTTTTATGCTAATACAAACTTCTTTCTTAAGACAATGATAAAGAAGTCTATAGCCAAACGCTCAGAAATGTTTAATTCTGGAAACTACTAGTCTGATGCCCTCCCCCGGCCTCCAGGGTTATGCTCCAGCTCATCTCTTGAGGCTTAAGGTTCTGTTGTGACTTTAATCAAAGCCAAACGTCCATCACCACCGAGAACAGATCCAAACCAGATGGAGCAGGGTCGAGACACTTAAAGACCAACACTAAAAGGATCACAGGTGACTAATCGCTAGACACGAATGAGTAACTGGGGTGGACACGGTCCTCTTGTCAAGAATAATTGCAAAAGCTGATCAGAAACGCATGCTGTGATTACTTGCAGACAACGGGACAACAGCCAGACCAGAACCATCTGACCGCAGCCAGGAAAATCCCTGAGATTAGTCCTGCCACCCCCTCCCTTCCTGCAAGCACTAAGGACGAAAGGTCCACACAGAGCATGGCGGCCTAAAGGATGAGAAGGATCTGGAGAGCCAGGAGGCTGAGGCAGCGGAACAAGCTATGACCTCCATCCCTGGAGTCTGGTGCTCGGTCCTGAGACACTGAGGACCAAGTGCTGGGAGCCACAAAGCAAATGATCCCAGGAGACACTGGAGCCCTGTCCGTCCAGGGCCAAGTCATGCTGAGCCTTCAGAGCACAAAGCAAATGATCCCAGGAGACACTGGAGCCCTGTCCGTCCAGGGCCAAGTCATGCTGAGCCTTCAGAGCACAAAGCAAATGATCCCAGGAGACTAGGAGACACTGGAGCCCTGTCCGTCCAGGGCCAAGTCATGCTGAGCCTTCAGAGCACAAAGCAAATGATCCCAGGAGACTAGGAGACACTGGAGCCCTGTCCGTCCAGGGCCAAGTCATGCTGAGCCTTCAGAGCACAAAGCAAATGATCCCAGGAGACTAGGAGACACTGGAGCCCTGTCCGTCCAGGGCCAAGTCATGCTGAGCCTTCAGAGCACAAAGCAAATGATCCCAGGAGACTAGGAGACACTGGAGCCCTGTCCGTCCAGGGCCAAGTCATGCTGAGCCTTCAGAGCACAAAGCAAATGATCCCAGGAGACTAGGAGACACTGGAGCCCTGTCCGTCCAGGGCCAAGTCATGCTGAGCCTTCAGAGCACAAAGCAAATGATCCCAGGAGACTAGGAGACACTGGAGCCCTGTCCGTCCAGGGCCAAGTCATGCTGAGCCTTCAGAGCACAAAGCAAATGATCCCAGGAGACTAGGAGACACTGGAGCCCTGTCCGTCCAGGGCCAAGTCATGCTGAGCCTTCAGAGCACAAGCAGAGGCTCCGGAAGGGCCGTACTTTGTAACACGATGTCAGCCCTACTAAAGGCTACTGTATTAGCAGGAGTCTCGAGAGGAACAGAACTTATAGCTCTATAGAGAGAGAAAAAAAGGGACTTATTACAGTGACTTGCAGCCCAGCTAGCCCAACAGTAGCAGTCTACTAACAGAAGGAGGCCGGATGTCTCAGCTGATCTTCAGCATACGTGGAAATCCCAAAGAACAGGCTCTGATGCCGGCAAAGGAACGGGTTTGCCACGGCGAGCGAGAGTGAGCGGGCGGAGAGAGTGCTTCCTTCTTCTATGGCCTTTATGCAGGCGGCCAGCAGAAGGCTGGGCCCAGGTGAAGAATGGATTCCCGCCTCAAAAGATGCAGAGTGAGCCAGGCGTTGGTGGCGCACGCCTTTAATCCCAGCACTCGGGAGGCAGAGGCAGGCGGATCTCTGTGAGTTCCAGGACAGCCTGGTCTACAAGAGCTAGTTCCAGGACAGCCTCCAAAGCCACAGAGAAACCCTGTCTCGAAAAAAAAAAAAAAAAAAAAAAAAAAAAAAGAAAAGAAAAGAAAAGAAAAAAGACCCAGAGTGAAAGCGGTCCTTCCAATTCAAATGATTTAATTAAGAAAAATCCCTCACAGGTGTGCCCAGCCCCTTGGATTTTCCCTAATTGCAGACAGTCAAGTTGACAACCAAAAACAGCCACCCCGGCTACCAGACACCCACCCTGACAAAGCTTATCAGTACTAAAAATGCAGTACCCAATCCACAAATTGCTTGGCTTCTCACCAAAACAAACTTCAACTCTCTTTAAAAGTATGTTTGTTTGTTTTCTGTTGCTGTGATAAACACTACAAGCAAAAGCAACTTAGCAATGGAAAGGGTCTATTCAGCATTCAGGTCGCAGCCCATCCGGCATGGGAAGTCAGAGCAGAAGTCAGAGCAGAGACCAGGCAGGGACACCTCTTACTGGCTGGCTCTGCCGTTTTTCCTTACACAGCCCAAGCCCACCCTGCCTGTGGACAGCACCATTAGCCATTAAGGAAATGCCTCACAGACGTGGCCAATCTGATCTGGACAATTCTTCAGTTGAGGCTTTCTCTTTCAAGGTTGATGGGGGACGTCCTTCTGTGTATATGTTTATCTTATTGGTTGTTGAATAAAGCACTGTTGGCCAATAGGGAAGCAAGACAGGTGGGACTAGGAGTCGAGGAGGATTCTGGGAAACAGGCACAGTCAGTCATGATGGAGGATGCCAGAGGAGTAAGAGGTCCAGACCCTTTCTCCAGTAAGAGAAGACCACGTGGAAATACTCAGATTAGCAGTTATGGGTCAATAATTAAGTCAGAGCTAGCCAATGAGAAACCATAGCAAATGGCCAACAGCTTCATAATTAATATAGTGTCCTATGTGTTATTTGGGGGCTGAGTCAGCAGCGGAATCTGGGCAGCTGGTGGGAAAAAATACATGTTACACAAGATGACTCCAAGTTTGTTTCAAGTTGACAGCTAAGGAAGCCAACTATGACAAAAGAAAACAAAATTTCAACTGGCAACATAATATACATAAGGAAATCAGATTAGAATGACGTTGAGAAGAGGGACAGACAATAATTTTTAAATGGCTATTAGAAATATGTTTTATAGACTCAAGGTTGAAGAAGGGGGTCAGCAAGATATCTCAGCCAATGACACGAGCCTGATAACATATATTACATATATGATATATGGCAAATCTTTTAAAAGAATGGATAGGAAAATATAAAAATAAACCTTAGAAAAGGCAAGCATGGCCGGGCGTTGGTGGCGCACGCCTTTAATCCCAGCACTCGGGAGGCAGAGGCAGACGGATCTCAGTGAGTTCAACGCCAGTCTGGTCTACAGAGCGAGTTCCAGGACAGCCTCCAAAGCCACAGAGAAACCCTGTCTCGAAAAACCAAAAAAAGAAAGAAAGAAAGAAAGAAAGAAAGAAAGAAAGAAAGAAAGAAAGAAAGAAAGAAAGAAAGAAAGAAAGAAAAGGCAAGCATGAGCATGACAAAAAGAGAAATGGAAAAGTGGAACCAGAAGGTTCCATTTCACCCTGTCATGTTGCTGAAACAGCCCAGTCACTAAACAGAATTGACAGCAGACTGCAGAAAATAAGACAAATGAACTTAAAAACAGCACAGAAATTTCTCAAATTATAGTGAAGGGGGAAAAAACAAAAGCACTAAGCCCTATGTGGTTTAAGGGACAATGTCAAGCATTGTTACATGTCATCTACATGTAACAACAGGAATTGTAAAAACAAAGGAGACTGAGGGGAGAGGTGAAGAAACAGAAACAGAAATTCTTCCAGCTTGACATAAACTTTAAGTCCTTAGATTCTTAAAACTCAATCAGGATAAGCAAGGAAAAAAAATACGGGAAAGCACATCACAAATTGTTCAAAAACAGCACCATTTAAGGAAAAAGAAAAAAAGATACTATGCCACTCCCCTGGCTCTAAATATATCAAAAGGTAGTAACGCTAGCCCCCAAAAAGCAAAGAGCGTTGTTCTAAACCTTGTACTTGAAAAGTAATAATCCACCAAAACCGAATCCTTACTCTGGTTGAGGCCGTCCTTTGCTGGTATTCCTGGCAGACTAATCAAGCATGAAAACTGATGCTGTCACGGCATATTACACACTTTCTGGTTCACATGCATCCCATACTTTAGATTGCATGGGCTCAGCCAAAAACCTTAGTATGTTTGTGCGGAAATGTCTAGGGCAGTTCTGAGTGGAGGATAACTGTACTACAGAATAAGATGAGACAAAGTGTCCAGAAGGATTAAATGCCTATCTCAAAGGGCATCTCCAGAGTAATGCAACTACACTGTCACCTCAAAGTAGACAGACAGACATAGACACAGACACACACACACACACACACACACACACAGAATTGTAAGCATTACTTACTCTGAGTCTCCACAAGGTCCAAGGCAACACTAGAAACGGTGTCCATTCCAGAGCTGATACAGGCTTGGAAGTTTTTTAAGGAGGAGAGAGCGGACTCCACACCACTGAAGGATATGTAGCGAGTGGCGCCTGAATTTGAACTGGAACGCCCTGGCATCTTGGAATTGTTACCTAAAATTTCAAACACAACGGTAAGAGTTCTAAGTCGGAACAGTAACTGTACAGGCAAAGAGCACAGCTGCAACATTCAATGTCGACTGTATCCAACATCCATGTGCTACGCTGATACCTGCAGGCGGTACCCAGAGGGTACCAAGGTACTGTGTCATCACCTGGCCATCAAGCACAAGCACAACATAACACAGGAAAGGTAACTAGCTTCGGTTTTTAAGAATACCGTCTTCCTTGTTGCTTCAACCAACTCTACAAATCCCTGTTCTTACTAGCCTAACACACACAGAGGATAGAGACTGTCTGTGACACATTTTCCTTTGAAATAAACAAAGAGAATGAAGCTTAATGAGATTTTTTAACCTATAGCTTTTAACTTACCAAATATATATGTATATATGTATATATTTGAACTCTTAAAATCTGTTTTTAAAGTTCTAAAAGATTTACAGCTGTAATTAACTCAGATTCAGTAGAAGTAGAATTTCTATAAAGACTTCTTGTAGCGGTTGACCTATTATAGCTGTAGTTATTACCCTCACATTAAGCACTCCCTTATCTACACCTTTAGACACCAGTTCTAAGCTTTGGGCCCATTGCCTGTATCGACGTCTTTGCCTAACTGAGAGGCCCCTGAAAGTCAGCCCAGGGAAAGCAACTGGAGAAGCGCAGGGTCCACATGGCCGTAACTGACAAGCAGGCTGCAGCGGAAGCTGTGCGGCACCATAAAATTAGAAAATCTCTTCTGGGATCCAGGAGACACACCATCAACTCAGGCTCATGGGACCAGAGGCTGACTGCAAGTCCTTCAGCCCCTCTTGGGGAAGGAAGAGGCCACACTCAGGGTGTGACCTGGCTTCTGGGCCACAATCTACATCAGAACTCACTCTCTGGGGGAGGGGAGGGGGCGTGTGGTGCCAGCAGCACTTCCTCCTCTCATAAGACCAGCTGTTTCACACCTCAGCTGCGACTGCGGTTTCTCCACTATTGCTTTCAACCAGGTTTGTTTGCTTATTCCACAAATGGGAATTAAAGGTCCCATCATGTAAATTCTTAGGCTCGTTAAAAAACACAGGACAGAAAGGGAGAGAGGCTCTGGGGGCTAAAGAGCTAACTTTTATCTTTGAGTTTAATGCCAGTTTAATGCCACTAGTTGCTGATTCAGTTAACTTGGGTAACATTTAGTAACTGTCGTCTTAAAGACCAGGCAACTAATTCTCTGAGCATGGGAATATAGTGGTTTTTCAAGGTAAATACTCTGAAACTTTTATTCCAATTCAGTGAAAACCTTGTCATATGCCAGGCAGTGTTCTAAGCAGCAGAAACACTCAGATATTGTTCCCCAAGAGCTCACTGGTTCACAGGACCAGCCATGCAAATATACGGCCGAAACAGCATAGGTTACTTGTAAAATGAAGGGACAGACGAAAAGTCTGACTTGGCCCTCACGGTGAGGAAAAGGCATACAAGAACACACAGCACAAACGGTTGCAAACAGCATCCGACCTCTGGGCAGCGACTTGGATTTTTCTTGTACAGACAATGGGCCCCTTTTCTGCCTCGGGTTCTCTGACAGCGTCTCACTATGTAGCCCAATGGCTTCAGACTCACAGCAATCCTCCGCCACTCAAAAGCTGAGACTGTAGGCAGGAGCCACCCACAGACCTGGCTTAGAAATACTCCGTGACCCCCGACGCCACAAACTCCTGACACCTCCTCACCCACGTGCGCTAACGCCCACAGCCAAAGACCTTGATTGCTACCTGACTGAGGAAACAGAAACCACCAAGGAGGGTACTTCCGTCCCCACCGGGCACCCTCGGTGTCTGCACTCTGCCCTCTCTTGTTGGATGAAGCTGCCACGCCCACTGAGACCAGCTCCCCTTTACACCACTTCCTCCTGGCCTTCCCCCAGCGACCCTCCCTGCTCGCCTGCATCACTAACTCTCTCCTCTCCAACACCACTGTCCGCTGAAAACCAAAGACACCTTCCTTCTCTCTTTAATGGGAAAGACGAGCATCTCCCCACCTTCCCCTCTGGTTACTTCCCAGGCTTCTCTGTTCATCCTGGCCACAAAACTCTCCTGTAGGCCTCCGTTTGTCTCCAAGTCCTCTCTTCCTGCCCTTGCCTGGGCGTCCACCAAGCCAAGGGGAACACGGCTCCCTTTTGCACGCCTTCAGACTCTCGTCTCTTCCCATCGGATTCCTATGATGTGTCTAGAGTCCCAAGCCACAGCTGCTAATCCTCTCCTCGTCTCCATGACCCGCATACCCACCTCCCCCAAGCTCATCTATCTGCAAGGTCTCCATGTTTCCATGCCGGAATCCTAATGTCCAGAGTGGCGGTGTTACCAGACGAGGCCTGTGGGGAGGCAACTGGATCCACCCTCCGGAATGCAATCCGGCCCCTTTAGAACGATGCTCCAGGGGACTCTCTTGCCACACAAGGAAACGGCAAGTGCATGCCATGCGCAAAGCAGGAAACACGCCTTCACCAGACACTAAATCTGACGGCAAGTTGGCCTTGGAATCCTCAGCCTCTACAATGGAAAGACAGTAGCTTCTAATGCTTTTTTGTTTGTTCGTTTTTCGAGATGGGGTTTCTCTGTATTGTTTGAGGCTGTCCTGGAACTCGCTCTGTAGATCAGGCTGGCCTCGAACTCACAGAGATCCGCCTGCCCCTGCCTCCCAGTGCTGGGATTAAAGGCGTGCGCCACCACCGCCCGGCGTTTTTGATGCTTTTAAACTACTAGATGTAGCATCTGTATTACAGACATCTGAACATTCTAACCTATTCCTCAGGTCTAGGTTTTCAGTTAAGGCTTGGGAGGGTCTCCCCCAAGGAACATTTAGCATCATATGGAGACATTTTTAATTAGGGTGGGGGCTGTGGACCTGAGGCCAGGAATACTGACAAGATTCTTGAAAGTACAGTAAACTCTCTCTACAAAAAAAATCATCTGAAAATTCAATGTCGTCATCACATTGGTTAAGAAACACTGGTTTAAGTCAACCTCTTCTTGCAACCTCTTTCCAAAGACATTCGTGTTTTTGTTCCCAGGACCTACAGCCGCCAAGGCAGTCCACAACAAAGTTGTGCGCTTCTTGAGGTCTCGTCAAGCCATCAGGCTCGGTACACCTTGTTGCTTTCCCTATATTCCTGGAAGAGTTGCCGCCAGCTGAGTCAGCTGTTAATGTAAATAGGCAGACACTGCTCCTACGTGTTGCTGCACAGCATTGTAGCAGACACAGAGCAAAACAAACAGGAAGTTGGGCCCCCAGCCTCCTTTAAAGCCACGGTGGCAAGTTCGGCGGAGTTGCGTCTCCTCTTTCAGCACGCCGGGGTGCACGCATCCTCCGAGTCGGTTTCCCTGGCCCACACACGTCTGCTGCTAAACTTTAGCCGGCTGCGTGCTTACCGCCTGCCATTCCCTTAAAGGAGCGCATACACCATGCGTACAACGTCTCCCGAAGACGAAGTGACCGGGAAGGATTCGTTGAGTTAGCAAAGTCACAATAAAGACTACTGCCATCTGCATCCCAGGTCACCACCAGGGATGCCCGTGCCCAACAAGGCTTCGCCCCCATCAAGGCAGTGTCTCACGCACTACTTACCTCCACCTGCAGGGGCGAGACGGTGCCCGTGGCCTCATTCATCGCACAGGGTGACGGGGCTGCAGTGCGGACCCCCCACCCCCCTCCGTCCCGCTGCCGCGGGGGGAAGACAGCCGGGGCCCACGGCCAATAGCCCAAGTCCCCGGAGCGCACAGGGAGGCGACAACGCCCGCCCGCCCTCCCCCACCGCGGCTCCTCTTCCAGCTTACCTGGCTGCCGCACCCGGCTCGGTGGCAGCCACCGGAACGCCGCTCGCACAGACCCCAGCGCCTTCCCCTCTGCCCACTTCTCCAAGAGGCTGAAACGCCCCGCGCGCTCTGCGTCATCAGTCGGCGCCCGCCAGGGGATCACATGACGCCCGGGCCCGGGACGCCGCCCCTCGGTCACGTGACGACGAGCCGGGCCAGCCGGGGGCTCAGAAGCCAGGCTCCGGGCAGCTTAGCTGCAGCCCAGGGCTCTAGGGGGTCGCTGGGGCCGGAGACGGGGGCCCGGGTGTCCGGTGCGCGCGGCCGGCCGGGAGGCTGACAGGTGAGTCCCCGAGCGAGCCCTCTCGCTCCCCGGGCACCGCGCCGGGTGCTGGCCCCGGAGCCGCCAGGGCGGGGACACCTGGGTCCTGCAGGGCTGGGGCTGCACCCCTGCCGCTCGCCTCCGTGGAAACGGCTCTTGCACGCATCTTGGAAGCTTTTGGGGGGTGATGCTCAAGCCGCTTGGCCCGCAGCTGAGTGTGCACGTTTCTCGGCGCGGTGCCCTGGTAGCGTGGTCGGGTGGTCTTCTGTCCACTCTGGAGAAAACCGAGACGTCGCTGGAGTAAGGGCTGTCACGCGAGCGGGAGGGTGGGGTGAAAGTTCTGCCGCGCGCTTTGAGTTTGGGCAAGTCGCTTCTCGAGCACCCTGATGCCCCTCGCCCAAGGTGAGGTGCTGAAGTCCTCTGTGTTGGGGGAGGGTGTCACCGGGTCCTGATTCTCCAAAGGTAGGAAAATAAATACTTGGTTCTATGTAGATGGGGGGGGGGTATTGCCTCCATCCGCTACCAGGGACGCTCTCCCTAGGTTTTCTTTAGCATTCATGAATCGGGCTGGAGTGATCAGCTTATCCCAGAACTTATCCGTTATGGTTTTTGTGAAAAGATTAAAAATAGACCCATCTTTGGTCCTCTGGATCGGGCCAGAGATGCGGTTCTTGAAAGCATGTCCCTTTGACAGGTGATTCTTCCTCATACAGAAAAAAAAGCAAGGGCCGGCGCCAAGCACCTAAAAAGTAAAGCTGCCATACTTTGTAACTCATAACATAATATTAGTAAGGGAATTAAGATCCCGATCTCTAAGTTTGTTTGACCTTACTCAAGAAAGGCTCAACTAAGACACAACATCTTGTAAAGCTCACTGCTTGCATCTTAAATGATTGCATGGTTACCAATCTATAACGACGGTCATTTGATTCTGTTACTCTGGGTCAGTTTCTCCATCCTACTCTGAGCTGTTTAGAGAATATCCTTACCAGATAAATGACATGGGAAATATAGCTAGCCCTGATTAGGTCTAGTATGTCTTAAATCGTCTAGATGTGATAATGTAACTAAGTGATTTATCCTTTCATTTGATGCTGCCTTGGTACTAGTCTCCAAGAATGTAGCAAGACACTTTCATTATAAGACATTAAAAAAAAACAACTCAGCTTTCTTTATATTTCACTAAAGAGGGATCAATTGTAATAGGTATTTTTCTTTTACACTGAATTCTATATAAACACTTGTTTTAATGCAGGTGTAGATAACCTTAGTTAATAAAGGCCCATAAACATTTGTTAAACCATTGCTAAATATGTTTGATTACTTTATGTTCTTGTAGCGTTATAGTGTGTTTTGATTGTTTGTCTGGAGAGGGTCCCACTATGAAACTCTAGCTAGCCTGGAACTCACCGTATGGGCCAGGCTGGCCTCAAACTCATAGGAATCTACCTGCTTCTGACTGTGGAGTATGCCACCACGCCTGGCCTTAAAGTAAGATAACCTTAAGGGCCAGGAGGTTGCCACACACAGTCTTGATACATCCTCCTCTCAAGCCTGATCTTCCCTGGATGAGTGCACGCGGGTGCTGTCTGTCTCTCTGCCCCTTGGGAGAGATGAGGGAGAGGGCAGGATCACTGCTTTGCTCTGAGCTGTGTCCTCCAGGGTCCAGCTGCCTGCACTGTCATCGTATATACAATTAGGCAGCAGTTTTCACCTGCTAATCACAGCCTGGCCTTTGCCCGGTGGGGCAGAGTTTTACCGTTTCACTCCGAGTGGGTTTGGTCTTCACTGGGCGGCGGTGGCGCGTCGTTTTGCCCATTTTGGATTATCCTCTCTGCTGTCCCCTCTCACTTCCGATGCCAGCCCAGATCTGTGCAGGAAAATGGGACAGCCTGAAGTTCAGCCTGTTACTTAGCAGTGCGGCTTAAGAGGCATGGGTGACTGGGAGTACTAAAAAGACTTGTTAAGAATGACCTGGGCGGTGGTGGCGAGCGCCTTTAATCCCAGCACTCGGGAGGCAGAGGCAGGCAGATCTCTGTGAGTTCGAGGCCAGCCTGGTCTACAGAGTGAGTTCCAGGACAGCCTTCAAAGCCACAGAGAAACCCCGTCTCTAAAAACAAAACAACAACAACAAAAAGGTGTGCTCTGATGTGCATCGGGTGAAAGAGTTCCAGGCAGCTGTCGTGACTTCCCAGCATCCTTTGCTTGCTGACCTGATCCGGTCCATCTCCATTAGCTCTGTGTCTACCCCTTGTTCTCTCTGCTCCACACTCCCTAGTCTCCCTGCCATCCCTTAAGCATCGTCTTAGTTACTTTCCTGTTGCTGTGTAGAGGGAGGAGTTCACCTGAATACGGGTGAAGTCATTCCACAGGCTGGAGCCCCAAACCGAGTAAAAGGGAATGAAGGAAGTGACCTGAGCACCGACATCCCTCTCTCCCTGAACATCGGGGAGTGAATGCCTTCCTTTTCCTCATACCAGGGCTCGTTGGCATACTTTCCCTGCGTTGGAGCTGTACTTCAGAAGCATGTACACACGTTTCTTAAACAATTGTTAACTTCCCTTTTTGCAGTGCAGGTTCTTTCATGGAGCAGCCTTTGGGTCTCCAGTCCTGGCTTCACCCGGTGACGCACAGACGCCAGCGCTGAGACCGGTTAACCGTTCCCACCATCCCGGCGTGGAGTAGCAGGTCGCCCTCACGATGTTGGACTTCCTGGCAGAGAATAACCTCTGCGGCCAGGCAATCCTGAGGATTGTTTCTTGCGGCAATGCCATCATTGCCGAGGTGCTGCGGCTGTCGGAGTTTATCCCTGCCGTATTCCGGCTGAAAGACCGTGCCGACCAGCAGAGATACGGAGACATCATATTTGACTTCAGCTATTTCAAGGTGCTTTCCCCCCGTGGCCTCGGTAGTCCTGTCCCTTTTACAAAAGCAGCCTTGCTGTGGGAGCCGTGAGGCTTAAAGTAGTCAAGCTAATTATGGAGCATTGAAAAGGACAGCTTTTCACCCAAAGTTAACATCAACTCCTAAGCTGAAAATAAGGGAAGGAAGGGTACTGTGTGGAAAGTCCTAACACAATGTAAACCACTACCTGTAACATAATAGCTTTTGCCTTGAGGTGCATTTGAAAGCGTACTAACCTTGGTTGAGATTCACACAGAGGCTTTTTGAGTCTGGCTTGCATGGCCATCTTCTTCTTTGAGTCTAGGATTGCGTGGCCATCTTACCTTCTGCTGCTCTGCTTTAGTTTTGATGTGTGAGAACCTTAGAGCACAATTTTAAGGCATCCTAGAACTGTGTCCAGCAGATTGGCCTTTGCTGATTCTAACACAAGTGTTTCCTTCTCAGGGTCCAGAGCTCTGGGAAAGCAAACTGGAAGCCAAACCTGAGCTACAGGATTTAGATGAAGAATTTCGGGAAAACAACATTGAGATTGTGACCAGATTTTACTTAGCCTTTCAAAGTGTACATAAATACATCGTAGACTTAAACAGGTATTGATGAGTTCCATAACAGCTTATTCCGGGGTGGACTAGCAGAGGAGCAGGGACCCAGCAGAACATGTGTGTCTTTCTCAGAGTTAACTCATCCATGCTGTGCATCGATGTAGTTTCATTATAGTCTCCCGTTCCTGTGATGGGTCGTAATAAACTTTGTCCTCAAGCTTTCAGCTTTTCAATTTGTGATCCTGTTGCCCTAGGCCCAGCTTATATTAGTTCTTAAGAGTTGACCAAATAATATGCAGGGTGTGTGCGTGCGTGCCTGTGTGCATGTGTATGTGTGTGAGTGTATATGTGTGTGTATGTGTGTGTGCAGTATGCGTGTATGTGTATACAAGTGTGTTCATGTGTGTGTTCGTGTGTCTGTGTGTGTGAGTGTATATGTGTGTGTGCACGCACGTGCGTGCACCAATCTATTGACCTTCAGCCACTCTTCGTGTTCCGTTCCTGAGCCGTTGTTTCTGAGCTCCTGCTGCTTTGTAATTCAGGAGTAGGGAATACTCCTTTGAGTTTTGAACAGCCCTAAGTGTTACCCTGTATCCCCAAATCACCATGAGTCACAGCTCATAGGACACAAAGTTCACGACACAGCAGAGACTGCCTGCAGAGGACGGAAACCAGAGTGCGGTGTCCTGCCATCTCTCTGGAAACTCTGTCCCCCTCAGAGATGTCACACCTGTGTTCACATTAGCTCATCGCCCTTGCGTTTCGTTTGTAGATACCTCGATGACCTCAATGAAGGAGTGTATATCCAGCAAACCTTAGAGACTGTGCTTCTCAACGAAGATGGAAAACAGCTGCTGGTAAGTGATAGGAGCTGTAAAGTACGTACTCAAGAATATGAAACAGCTGGGCATGGTGGCAGTCAGAGGCAAGCGGATCTCTGGGAGTTCGAGACCGGCTTAGTCTACACAGCAAGTTTGGGAACAGCCAGAGCTATCTAATAGACCCTGTCTCAAAAATAACAATAATATGAAACAGCATCAGTATATACAGCATACCATTCCTCAAAGAAAAGAAAATAGCCTAATGATTGTCTTCTGAGTTTTGAATGTGTGGGTGTCGTATGAAATTACTCACGGAAGACAAGACATGTTGGATTATGAGCGTCCTCTGTAGAAGAAGTCCTTCTTCGGGCTTGGGGATTTAGCTCAGTGGTAGAACGCAAGGGTACTTACCTAGAAAGCATAAGGTCCTGGGTTCAGTCCTCAGCCGAGTGGTGGTGGTGGCACACACCTTTTATCCTAGCTCTCGGGAGGAGGAAGGAGGCCGATCTCTGAGTTCAAGACCGACTGGGTCTATAGAGCAAGTTCCAGGACAGCCAGAGCTACACAGAGA